AGGGATGGAGAGTGAGAAACATCGATAGAGAAACATCGATCAGCTGCCTCCTGCACGCCCGCCACTGGGGATGTGCCCGCAACCCAGGTCCATGCCCTTGGCCGGGAATCGAACCCGGGACCCTTCAGTCTGGAGGCCGACGCTCTATCCACTGAGCCACACCGGTCAGGGCTCATCCTGGATGTTTCGTCCCTTGATCCCTCTCCCTTCCTCTCCAAAATCAATTGAAAAAATAAAATAATAAGAAAAAGAGATATTTCAGAAACGATCTCATTGTTCAAAAAAGCGAAACTCCTATTCATGCAGACAACACGGCATCCAGGAAAAAAAGGGAAAAAAAAATAAAATCATGAGAAGGACAGAGGAAATACTGAGGGAGAAACCACTCAGACATTGTTAATAATCACCTATAATAATAAAAGCGTAATATGCTAATTAGACCGGATGTCCTTCCGGATGAAGCCAGGAGTGCGGAGGGGAAGCCGGTGCTGGTATTTGGGGGAAGGAAGGCCTACTCTTGCTAGAATTTCATGCATCCGGCCTCTGGTAATAATATAAAGTGATTGATAGGAAATAAAAATAGCAAATCAAGTTTCCAAACATAGAACTAAAATGCATAAAATTATGTCACAATAAAGATTCGTATACTGTAGGCGAGGCTCGTAGAGCCATAAGAAATGCAAAAAAAAAAATTCACTATTTGTAACTCCTTCTTGAATTGCCCTCTTAACATTGAAACGTTCCCCCTATGGGGGCGTGTGCCCCACTTTGGGGACCAGGGGCCTAGAGCGGGTAGCTCATAACCAAGGATACATGCAACTCCCTAAGTGCAAAGAGCTCTGAGCTCGCTGAGTAAGGCTGCAACAATGTATCATGGGTGTTGCTAGGCGACCCGGACCTATGGATACATTGTTGCAGCCTCGCTCCAAAGTATCATGGGTGTTGCTAGGCGACCCGGACCTATGGATACATTGTTGCAGCCACGCTCCAATGTATCCTGGCTGTTGCTAAGCGACCCGGACCTATGGATACATTGTTGCAGCCGCAATCCAATGTATCATGGCTGCTGCTAAGCGACCCGGACATATGGATACATTGTTGTAGTCCTACTCAGCGAGCTCAGAAGTCAGTCCCCGGGTGTCAGTCACTAAGGGCACAGGACCTGTCAGGACAGCGGAATCACTAAGCCCCCCAAATGCTGCAGGGAGCTCCCACTCGCCCTTGAACGACTTGATAGCGCCCCAAAGTCGTCCCCTAATGTCATGCAATGAAACTGCATCCCCAGTTCGCGCCCCGGGTCCCCAGGCGGACCTGGCCCGGGCGGCTGTCCCTTTGCCTGCCCCCCTGGTCCTCCCTGGAGACAGAACGCACTGGGCCCAGGGGACCCTGGCCCCCCGGATGGGAAGGGGGCCCCCCTCACCCCACCCGGAGTCTTTTTGCTGGTAATTCCAGTGTTCCATATCCATCACTGAAGAATTCCATTGTTTAGTATTGAGAATTCTTAGAACAGTAACTCCGTTTAGAGAGTGTTC